AGAGAGAGAGAGAGAGATAGAGCGGGGCAGCAAAAAGTCAGTGGGCAGGTCCCGGTTTCGCTCAAGCGGGTGCTTCGGAGCCGTCCGGCATCGCAGCGCTGTATGCGTCCTGATGAGTTGTCCCATGGAGGCCTAAAAGACGTGAGCGAGTTAACGCGATCAGAATCCAGCGCAGCTCCTCTGCGAAGCTTCGCAGCTTCTGCGCTTCACGGCGTTCGGCAGCCGTCTGAACCTAGCTCTCTCTTGGTACTGCGTGCCAGAGCACGGAGGGCGATTCAAGGATCCGAGTGCCGAGCGCCTGCACCCTGCAAGCGGACATCTTGTGCTCCGTAGCCTCCACTCGAACCAACAGAAACCGAAGAGAACCCCTTGGAACGTCTGCTCGAGCCTCCAGAAGACTTCTGGCCCAGAGCCTCCACCCATCCCCGCCCCCGCAGCGCTTAACCACATGGCGCGCTGACTTGCCCTGCCTCCAAGACCTCAAGGTCTTCGCCGGTGGAAATGGCCATGCCCAGCAGCCAGGGTGGAATCTGAGCGAGACCGGCTCGTCAGCGTGTGAACTGTGAACTGCCTTTGCACCCGCCTTTGCACCCGCTTCTGCCAGGCACTTCACCAGCTCCTTGCTCAGTCCTCCCGGTCAACTTGAGCCTGGCCTTGCATGGGCCCTCGATCGGAGCTCTGAGGCCCCGTCCCTTTGCCCGAGCATTGGCGAAAGCGATGGAGAGACCGTTCCTCTAAGAGTCTCGGCTCCACTCCGGATGCCATGTGAGGGGAAGGGCAAGGCACGGCAAGGCCTCCCCAGGCGGCCCGTCCGGCCGGATCGATGCCTCAAGAACAAGAAAAAACATGGAAAAGCACGAAGACAAAGCCTGAACAACGGCTCAACACCATTCGGATGCTGCTCGCAAAGCTTCCGGCACGAAGTCGTCGATCCTAGGCCAGTAGCGACAGGGGCCGGGAGTCAAGGAACTCTCCAGTCTTTCTTAGCCACGTCTTGCACTGACGAAACTCCGACGGAAACCATGAGGAAACCACTTATGCACCCTAAATCCTAATTGAAGCTTGGACCTAAACCCATTGAAAACATCCTTCGGCCCCCCGCCTTCTTGGCAGGTCGTAGTGCACCACGCAGGTGATGTCTGGGATGTCCAACCCGCGAGCTGCGACGTCTGTGGCCACCAGCACGGCCGCGTCCGAATCCCTCCAAACTCAACTTCTGTCAAGTCAAGATCTCTCACACCGATTTCTGGCGCCTGGAGCCAGAGCTGCGGCCCTCCGCATGGTGGCGGAAGAGTTGCAGCGCCTTCTCTCGAGCATCCTCCCAGCATGAGATGCGTCACAATGATGTCGCAATGCATCCAGGCTTGCATAGCTGGCATAGCTTGCCTGCTTCTTGTCTCCATGAATCGAGAAGACCCGGAATCTCCAAGTGCGGACCTTCTCTTCAATAAGCCGCACCGCATCCTTTCAATGGGGGCAAGCTGGGAAGCGGGGCGCAGAGGCAGACGATCCGTCCTTGGTGTTTGCGAAGACCAGAACGCTACAGGGCGACGTCCCCTTCGCGCTCTCCAAAGCGAGGAGCGTGCCCAAGAGCGCCTCGACATGCGCCGCGCCGCGCGCTGAGGCCTTGAGCCGCCCTCCCTCCCCAAGACTTGTGCCTGGGCCTTGCGAGCGTCCTCCACCCAAATCACCCGCTGCTCCACCTGAAGGAAGTAGGAGATGAGAGTTCAGGCGCCGTGGCGGGCATATGCATATGCAGGCCGGGGGCCCCCACCGTCTGAGCGGCACCCCCCACACGGCCTACGGCCACAAAGGTGTAGGCATCCAAGAAGTCCGCTGCGAGGTGCTGCCTCGGCGGCTTATGCATATACGCCAACGAGATCCTCTCTAAACACCATGACGACCCTGTCAGGGCCCGGCACTCCGATCCCGAAGGTGGCGCTGAACATCGCCGTCCTTGGGACATCTCTGCGCATTCTCAAGCCAAGCCAACTGGGTCCAAAGAGGGACGAAGTTGGTGTCGAGAGGCTGTCGCCCGCTCCCCGTTCGAGGCATGCGCCTGCGGGAGCACCGCGGAGCACCGACGACGGCACAAGCGCAAGTGCAAGATGCGAGGCCTGGTGAGCAGGATACGGATCTGGTCCTCGAAGCCTCCAGAGGAACGCAAACGCAAGAAATGAGCAGAGCATCTCCGCCGAGCCAAGTGAAGGCCCTGGCCCAGGTCCAGCATCCGGTCCGCCTGAGATCTCAGCCGGAGACGGAGGCCCCCCCAGGCTTTTCGGTGGTTTCCCCCTGGGCACCTCGTCCAGCACCGCGGCTCGCACATCTCGGAGGAGCAGATCGCCTACAAAGCCAAAGCTCCAGCTGGTAGCAAGGTGACTCTCAGCACAAGGCTCCGCGGCTCCCAGAGGCACCGGGACAGACACGAAACAGCTCCGGCGCACATTGCGACGATCAGCTCTCTCCAGCCCAAAAAACTAGATGATCAGGACGCATGGCGAAGCTTGACAAAACCTCGACATCCAGCTTCGGCACACGTAGCAATGCCTTGGTTCTGACACATGTTCTGCGAGCACCCTCCGCGCCAGAACCTGCATCCTCATCAGCCCAGGCTAGGCACAAACTTTGCAGATTCAACATGCCTTTCTCTGTTGGCACCAAAGTGGAGGGCAGTCGGTGCCGATCTGCGTCTAGCTCCTTCGGCTCCCAGTTTGCTGCGATGGTCCCAGGGTCAAAGGGCTCGTCGCTTCTGTGCCGCAGCTCCGCCCAGCCGGTCCATGTAACGCGGAGGAAACCGGGCTCCTCGGTCGGGGAGAAGTTCCCCTCTGCGATCTCCCAACAGCACGTGCAGCTGTAACCGCCTCCGTCAGGGGGCATGGGTCAAAAGACTGCCAACCACTCGAAAGCTGCTGAAAACACTGACGGGGATCGGGGATTGCATCGAGTCACAGCTACGCTCCATGTAGTCGCTCTCGTGATGATACTTTGCCAAAATCCGCCCGTCTGGAAGCAGAAGCACATGATGCGTCGACTCCATGCCGCCATAACCTCCTCCGCTGAAGAACGTCTTGTCCTCCTTCGCCAAGTTGAGGCAGCACTTCATGCCCGGAAAGCCCGGCGGTGCGTCCTGAATTGCGCCAAAGTTGTTGAGCGCCTCGACGGTGTCGGCTTCAAGTCCAGCCAGCAGGCCCGCATCGACCCGAACGAACAGAAGATCGATAGCCTCTTCAGTGACGCGTAGCTCGGCAGAAAGATCCAAAGACTCGCTGTCCCTAAGGAGTCTGTCGAACCGTGTCGTCGGCCCAGGCAGCCTTTCAATGATCTGTTGCCCAGTCACGGGCTCGGGAATATCAGCTTCAAGCAACGTCTCCCCTGCCAGGCTTGTCACTGTTATGACGACCATGCCCCGGCGGCTTGAAGTTGCAAGACTTTTGCAAGTGTCGCTTGAGAAACGCAACGTTAGCCAGGCGATGGCAACTTCACCACATGGCACCGCTTCGTTGCTTGATGGCTTTGTCGAAGATATGGGTGGCAAACGCAAGAAGTGTGCCCTCTGTCCCATCGCAGGAAGGAAACTAGTCCCGCTATGTGTTGCGATGTGCTATCAACAAGTCGTCAACTGCAATCCCTGGCCTCGAACACATGCATCCTCCAAGCGACCCGGCCTGAGAAAAAGGCGGAAGACTGCCCCTTTGCACGGCTGAAAGACCCTCGATGGGCAGCAAGGCTCTTCTGCAACATGCCGGTAACAGCTCGTGTTAGTTATGTAGAGGCACCACGCGACAAGGAGCAGTATCGACTAAAGACCCGCGACCTGCTGCAGGAATATACTATCATCCCTACTCTCCAGAATAGAGGATGAGAAGTTAGCCAACTGCAAGACGTTGACACAAGGCGACACTGGCATACTGGGCTTCTGACGTGGCGACAAGAAGGTCGGCACCCTGCGACAGCGCGTCGCGGGTATCTCGGTACGGCCTCGGAAGGCGCTGTGACTCGCAAGTCCCTCTCCTTTTTGGCCCTTCGACTCTGCAAGGCTCCTACACACTCCGACCTCGAAGCATCCACTGCCTTAAGCTCGGTATTCGTAAACCTAACCCAAGAAAAAAAGAACAACAGCCATCGCCGGAACATTAAAACGTGCTCAAAACCCAAGGCAAGCACCAAGACCCTTTTTAAGTTCTTTTTTAAGGGCTCTCTGGGTTGCCGAGTTTCGGCTTTAAGGGGCTGGAAGGCTTAATTTAAAGTTCCAGGGATTCAGGTATTTACAGTGGCGCATACTCAAGAGTGCCAGCAAGATGCACTCCACCGTAGATGGCAGCGACGTTGATGGAGGTCCCAGCCACCAACCAGGATGCCTCAAAAAGCTCTGAGTGCCCTCTTCTATCCCTGCAACGTGAACATCTGAACGCCAGACCCGCAACCGTCCCACCCTCCACCATCTGTCGCAGTTGCCTCGCCGGCGATTTGCGCAGCGAGCTCCCTCGTTGGGGCCTCAGGATGCAGGAAAAGAGGGCGAATTCGTCCGGGTCGGAGTTCTGAAAAAAGGCGGTGTCATGCACTTCGGTGGCCGACCAGGACCACCGCGCCCGGCCTCTTGGGTCCTCTGGGTCCACCTCAGGAGCTCCGACAAGCTCGGCTTAGAACCAGAAATGGCATCTGCTGGCCGCGTTTTAGGAGGCTGTGTTGAACAGCTCGGCATCAACAAAGCCGACATCTGACATAAAGTTGCACAGCTGTGCATAGCTGTGCTGCCCGAGAGAGGGTTTGAATGTGTGATTCACTAGGTCCCGCGGTCTTCTATGCCAGCCTGGGGGCACAGATGCCTGGGGGTTGCCATCCATTCAAACCCAGCGAGACACGTCTCGCCCACAGAGAGAAACAGTCGAGCACGGTGCGAGTGCTGGAACACGTTGTTCTGCATTGCAGAAACAAGCGGCCCGCAATGCAAAATACTAAGCAAGAGCGCCTTGCATGTTGGGAAGTCCAGGAGTCAAGCTCATTGCATGGGCCATCATCCCTAACTCTTGCAATCAAAATCGCAAGGTGTCCCGTCCCTGCGGCCTCTCCCTGAAGCATTTCTCGTTCCTTACCTTTCCTTGCTGCCTCCTTCAACGTACAGGCTACGCCAATGCTAGGGCGAGCTTCCACGCAGGTCGACTTGCAATCTTCAAACTTTCCACCGGGGACGCCATGCCTGCTGGAAAACAGGTCTCGTGGTCTGGCTTCTCAGGAGGACAGCCTGCTAAGTGCAAGAAAAGGCTTGCTGTTGATAGCATTATTCATCGATTCTGCCTCAGGAGCGCCAGGTCACAACCACCGATCTGCATTCAAATTCGAGGCTATAGAAGTCTATCCAACCCCTCTCCGGGCAACACCCATCATGTGCCTGTCTGTGCACTGGGACCACTCTCATTTCACAAAAATGATATGTACACGGCATGAAAATCAGGTTCAAAAGTTTCGAGGTAAGCTCAGCTCAACCAATTTCACGTGGCCGCCGTATCGGCCAGTCGCGACAGCGTGCCTGAGCCAAGGCTTTGCGGATCTACGCACCTCCGTTCAGAATCAAAACGGAAGTCCAAGAACAGCTGGCGTGCCACCTGCTATGGCATCGACTGCCCGTGCCAGAACGGTACGTGACATCCGCTCGTTGGGAAGATGAACGGCATCAGATGCCTGGGGGCACGCGGCAAAGAAGCCAGAAGCGCAACCGGCACTCAGCGGAGTCCTGACTGAAGGCCATCTGCACTACATCACCTCAGATGAACGGCCGTCGTATGAAAAAGTGTATAGCCCCGAAAGAACAGCTCCAAAAAAGCCCAACGCCCAGGTGCATTCCAGCTCTGCCTCGAGCAGCGGCAAGATCGCAATGGTTCCTCGGGGAGCCCCCAAAAAAGGGGCTTTTAAAGGCCCCCCAAGCAGAAAACCTCCAAGGCTCCGGCCACCTTCCCGCACCGCCAGCACCGCCGACTCCTCCAGCTTCCAGGCCGTCGCCATCGCAGCACGAGCTGCTCGAAACACCTCCCAACAAAGAAAGAGCCGCATCGCATCAGCCAAGACAGCTAAGACAGAGTCCAACGAAAGCGTCGCAGGTTCCCCACGTCAGTTTGCAACCCTCGGCCCGGAAACCACGGGCCGCTCGGCCTTGGATGTTGGCTTCGCCAGCCAAGACTCCTCGGACTGCCAAGTCTTGGGACGCGGGGCTGGGTCTGGGCGAAGGCGGCAGCAGCAGCGGGAGCTCCCAGCCATCAACGCATCCCGAGAAGTCAGCGTCCACAGAGAAACTCCTTCTTGAGCCGAGGGGCCGAGACGGCAAGCTCTGCAATCTCCAGCTTGTTACAGCTGCGGCGCTTCGCAAACCTTCGGGGGGCGGGGGGGGGGCAGCCGGGTTGGCTGCAGGGCCCTAGGTTTCACCTACCGCCTGTGGGGGGTTCACTATGACGCCGAGCCACTCGTGCTGCAGGTGCTGCTTCAGGCAGCCCACCACATCCTCGGGCTTTTGGCCTGGTCCGAACTGGACTCGCATGCTGCTCGTGCTTTGTGTGTGTGAAGAAGGGTGTGCAGAAGGGAAGTAGAAAGCCGATTCCTAGCTCAACAAGCCTCAAAAAAAGAGCCCGACGACAGGCTGCGTTTCCCGGGCCTGGGGTGGTGCGCACGGAGACCACGCAGGAGGCGCGGTTCGCAATGTGCCGTCCATGTAGGTGCCTGGGGCCTTCCCAGGGCGTCCGAATGCGTCCGGCATCAAAGAAAGCCGGGACCCCCTCCCCCACCTTTTCCAATCTCTGTGATGGAGATCGACGGCTGCAGCCATGTTCTCTTCAGTGCTTCCATGCCTCGGTGCCAAGCACAACGAAGTCCTCCCGTCGTCCCGACGTCCCCCGCGGACGGGGCCTGGATTCTGAAAGCTCTGCAGCCAACCGGGGCCGGCATGGCCATTGGGAATACCCAGTCGCTGGCAAATCTTCTCCACGGACATCCTTAGCTCAGATAGTGCTTGTGAGTGCTTGTGACAACCGGCGGCCCGAGCCAAGATGCTGCTGCCCGGCCGCGGACAAGTTCACAAGGTCCTCCTCTTGGATGTTGCAGAGACCTCGGTGGATTCAGGACCCTTGAAAAAAAACGGCCCTCTCCCCCGTTTGGGGCTCCCGGCTTTCGGAGAGCCCGGCCACCGTGGGAACCCCGGTGGCATCGGTCAAGGAGGAGATCAGGGACATCAAGTCAAAGGTCGGCTCCGGCAGCAAGCCGCCGTTTACACCACTGTGCAAGTCGCGCTCCCCGCCCTGGATGGCCACCTCCAGATCCAGGACGCCTCTCATGCCGTAGCCTCAGACATCGCATTATCGTGCCACCCTCCTATGCCCTCCTGCTTCTGCTGCCTTCCGGTCACAGCTCAGGCTCCCGCACAGGCACGGCCGCTCCTCGAAGCGTCAATCTCATAAGAGCCAAGAGGAGGGAGTAAGGAGCCAGTCCCGACAGTACGGCAAACAAGGCTCGTCATCAATCCATGAGGAGTTGTTGACGATCAGGCCGACCGTGTTCCCGCGCAGCCACCCGTCACTGCGTGCCTCTCGCACCACACGAAGGGTGTTGCTGGGGTCGCCACCTGCCATAGAAAGTCATTGAAGTGCTTTGCTGCTTGGCAAAGCATGAACCCGCCAACAGAATCTCGGGATCCGACTTTCTTCATGGCCGTCCACAATGAACAGCACGTTAACGGGGCATTCCTCCTCCTGCCAGGCGTCAACAAGTCTGCAACCGCCATCAGTGCTTCTCGATTCAGTCACTTCATGTTTTTCTTCTCCCCGGTTTGTTCCAGGCCCCGGCTCTATCTTGTAGGAAAAGCTACCATGCTCTCCCGTTTCCGCTGGATCCTGCGTGGTTTCCAGGTCAAAGCCGGCCAGGCAGAAGTCTGAGGAATCGCTGTGCTGAAGCAGCCTCCGGACTGCAAAGATCTGTGCCAGCAGCGGACCTGCAAGGAACGTCGAAGCTTCGCGGGCTCGCGGGGCCCAGGGCTGTTGTTTTGGGGCCTTTGTTGTCGCTCACCCCACGGCCGTAGAAGTATCCATCTTCCACCCGCATGGTCCAGGGATCGGTGTGCCATCCCTTCCCAGCAGCAACGACATCATAGTGCGAATACCTCACGGGAGGCATGGGAATCCGTTCTCACGACTTGTCGAATTCTCAAGTGCTTGAACAAAGCTGATCGCATCTGCATGGTATCAAGGCACATGATTACAAGAGGCTTGTTCAGGTCCCAACCGCATCTGGCGACAACTGCCCCATTGCAAATCCGCACCTTGGGAGTATCCACAGGCCTTTGCCAAAGACCAGCTGCCGGAGACTAGCTACGCAGGTGCAGCGCCACGTGTCACAGCGCCAGACCGTCACATAGCGACAGCCTACCACCTGTCAACATGGTCCTTCAGCCAGATTCAGCCAGACAACCAGCCGCCCAACCAGCCAGACATGCATGCAAGGGCAGAGATCACAGCGCCTAGCGGATCCTAGCGCCCATTCTTCGGTCAAAGCGGCTGTGGCCCCGAGGAGTTCTTCGAAGCGCCGGGCGAGCCAGGAGGCCGCCTTCTGCATGTCCGGCACATGTCGGCCTCGACTTCAAAGGGCCCAAAACCCACAGGCGCTGCTGGCTTTGGGGGCTTTGGGGGCTGATTTGTTGGACTTGTCTGGGCATCGTCAGACCAGCAGCTGTCGCTTGAGACCGTCTGGAACGCGACGAACTCGCCCAGAAGGGTAACCAGCCTCTGAAACTCGACTGCGTCCTGCGGTTCGTGCTAAAATACACATATATGAACTCTATCACATCTATATCACATAAAGACCTAGCAGCATCATGCGCAGCACAGTCGGCATCCGACCTTTCCTTTGTTTCTGTGCAGTGTCTTTGGAGTCCTCGTGGCCGCAGTCCTTCTTTCTACAGAATCGGCCGCAGACACGGCTGGGCGGGGAGAGCATCGGCCGAGATGTCTTGGTGCCCGTGTTCACATCCAGGTAAGCGGCGTGGATGGTGCCTGGACTCAGCGCATCTTCTGCCGCTTCTAGCTCTTGGGAACCGCTGAGTGTGGAGCCGGAATTGCAGCCACCGGTCACGACCCGAAGGGCATATCGCCCAGACGACGCCGTCGAAGACGACCTGCCCCCCGAGGCGCTGCTTGTGCCCCCCGGCCCCGAGTGTGTTCGAGGAAAAGCAGGGCCTCATCCCGAGTGGGGAGACGGCAGCACAGCAGCTCGCCCCCGTGGGAAGCTCTCGAAGGAGGGTGCCTTTGTCTGCATCCCAGAGGCGAAGGCTTCCTGCTGCATCTCCTCATAGGCGGGTGCTGGCTCTCTCAAGCTGTCGACTGGCGCTCTCCGGAGGCTCCTGAGATCACAACGGGCGGGCCCTCGCAAATCAGGTTCTGGTCTCCCAGCGTGGCCAGCGCCAGGATGGCAGCGGCACAGCCGCCTCCTGGCCCAAGACAAGCGGCGGATGCAGCAGGATGCAGCCGAGCACTTTGGAACCGGCCTGAACTTAGGACGGCTTTGCTTCCGTGCTGAACTGAAGCCGCGTCCCAGACGCGAATGCGCCCATAGGCATCCCCAGAGTAGAGTGCCTCAGCTTGTGCACCGCGAGTGCCCGCTTCCGCGCCATGCTATAGGATGCTGTATAGGACTTGTCAAACCTTGCAAGTTGGGCGGCTTTCGACGTGGCGCAGGCGGCCAAGGCCAGAACTGGCCCGCCATGATTGAAGCAGCAAACCGCCTCAAGGGACTGAGGATGAAGGCAGAACTGAGCACTTCCCCGACGGAACCTTGCCTTGCCCTTCTCCCAGAAGACAATGCGGCCATCCCCACCACCAGATGCCACAATACCACTCAGCGGTTCTTGGACCACACAATGCACGAAGCCCATGTGTCGCTGATTGCAGCTTTGCCAAAGCTCCAGCAAACTGTGGTGACCTCCAGGCAGAAGCACATAATATGCGCACATTAGGCTGAGGGAGCAGCAGTTCTGTTACGAAAGCACGGGGCACGGAAGAAGACAACATGCAAGTTCAAAGGCGCAAGGTACCCCGACTCAGGCTTCCGAGGGACTGAACTTGTTGGGCCCAGGAGGAGTGTTGGGCTTCTTCTTGGCGAGGTCGATGTTGAAGGTGTAGTGCCTCTCTTCAGAAAGCGGAGACTCAGAGCCGAGTGCTGGAGGCTTCCGCTCGCTTCCGTTCTCGCTGCCGCACTCACCTGGTGGTCCGCGTCCGAGTCTTCGCTTGCAGGAGCTTTGTCCAGCCCTCCAGCAGCCGCAAACAGAAGAGGTTCGTGCTCTGAAATCCCAAGATCA